TAATGATATAAAATACAATACATATGAATAGCAAGAACATGGACACAGCCCAAATGTCCATCAACAAATTAATGGACTGAGAAATTGTGGTACATTTACAGGATGGAGTACACTGCGGCATGCAGGAGCAAGAATTTTGAAAAATACTAGAGAGCATTCTGCTGACTCAGTCTCATAAGGACAAATATTGCATACAACCATTATTGCAAAAATTGAAGGATACCTAGTAAAATGTGTATAAATGTCCAAAGATAGAAGGGTTGGGGGTAGGGGAGCTGAAAGTGGGGAAGAGGGAGATCATGGGTTACAGAGTTTGGTGGGTGGAGGGAAGGGGTAAAAGAATTAGGAAAGATACAGTAGAGATGGGATAATAGCGTAGATTAGTGGTGATTAGTTTTTTTACATTTTATTTTATTAATTATAATGAAAATTTACAGAGATTTTGGATTTTCATGAATTCATTATTGAACTTTTTTGGTTACCCCCTCCCCCTAGTTCGCTCCTATCTTTGGAAAGCAAAAGATAAACTTCTTCGTTGGTATACAATCCCTCCAGCCCTGCCCTTGCCACCCCCCCCCGCCCCCAAATGCACTCCACCATGCAACCTTAATTCTGGATTCCTGTGATAATCATAATATGCTATCATATATCACTTTTAAACTGTTCTCTCCCTCATCAGTTTCAGTTCAGTATACATAATCAATCCAGTTTTTCTCAGTCTTACGCCAACCCTGATGTCAGTCACTTTCTACAACAGTTCTTAAAAGCTTGATGTTAATAAATGAAAAAGTGGCTGAATGGGTATTTCAGAAAAATATAAATTACCAAACTGTGAAACACTGACTATCTTTTTGGTGAAATAGCTGAAAATTTCTGTGGCAATCATAATGTAATTTGCTTTTTTAAGTTTTTGTTAATTCCTTTCGATCCACTTTGTCACTCTTTATGCCTCCTAGCTTTTAGTCATGGATAATTTAGTTTTTTAAAAAAATTTGAGTCTATTTTTTAGTAAGTATTTTTATAGTACCAGTGTTTACACATCTTATTATAGTCATGAATAGTAGTATTTTTGTGTGTTTAATTTTCACTTTTATTTACAAGTTTTACTTTGAATATACTTTTTTTTTAATTAAAGATGACTTTTTATTTTTAATTCCGTCTCAGTCTATTCTTTCTGGTACAGTGACTCTGTGTGTTCGCTCAGTCTTGTTCTCTTAATTTTTTTTATATTGGTTTTCTCACAAAGTTCATATATATTGTGTTTCACACTGTCCTTCATTCATAGAGTGTTTCATACAATAACTCCCATTTGTTATGTTTTATAAACTTAATCATCATTGAATTATGTATACCATTACCCTATCTTTCCAGATCTCTCCCAGATTTTTCCCATTTACTTTACCCTTCCCTTCACTCACCAAATTGTATGAACCTATGATTTTCCTGTGCCCTTCCTCACCACTCAGCTACTCCCCCTCCTCACCCTTGGATCCTCATACACTTTCTGTTTCTACAATAATGGTCTTCTGCAGATTTTGCCCTTATGAGACTGAGTTATTTCACTTAGCATAATGTTCTCTTGTCCCTCCGAAGTTATGTAGTAATTTTCAAAAAACATTGCAACTGAGGACTGCATAGTATTCCATCGTGTGACTGTACCACAATTTCTCAATCCATCCAGTTGTGATTGGACATTAGAGCTGTTTCCATGTTCTTGGAATGGTGAACAATGCTGCTATGACTATTGGTGTACAACTATGACTATTGGAGTACAGATGTCCATTTGTGTCTCAGTTCTAATTTGGAGTGGGGTATATTCATAGCCTTCAAGTAGTGTGCTTGTTTGTGTTGAGTTGTATTTAAAATTCTAAAGTAATTAGGGAGGGGCAGGTTGTTTTTATTAGATCTCAAAGTGTAAAGAATTAAAACAAGCAAGAGACAAGTGCTAGCCACCTTCTTTATCCAGTTTTAGGGTGCTACTTATACAACTAAGTGCTTTGAGATTGAATGTTTCCATTACGTGCTACACTGTTCCACTCTTTTCCTTTTAAAAATGGGTATGATTAGTTCTTGGTTGAATATACTTTTTAATCCATAATTGTTAAGGACAGGATTCTGTGTTACTCTGTTTCTAGGTTTTTTGCTTTGTTTTTTATGTTTCCAATATTTTTTATAAACTTGTTTTCTGCATTCTCATTTCTTTTTTGTTTTGCCTTTTGCTTCTTTATGATTTGCTGTTTTAATTTGTTTTCCTTCTTCATTGTATTGGAGTACATTCTTTAATAATTTTCTTAAAAATAGTAGTTTAGCTTTATAAATGTGACTAATGCTATGGTTTGTACACTTGTTAATGGTTAAAATGGAAAACTTTATGTTTTATGTGTTTAACACAATAGAAAAAATAGTGTATGGTTGGTAAAGTTTTAGGATCCTTGTTGATGTTGTTGTTATGTGCCATCAAGTCGTTTGCGACTCATAGCGACCCTATGTACAAGAGCCCTAAACGCCATTCTATCCTGTGCCAACCTCGCTGTCTCAAACACATTCATTCCCACCACTCCACTCACAGAAT